TCCATGTTCAGTGTTGTGTCCATCATGTCTCCAAACAGCACAATGACACATGTCCCCTTTAAACAGACACACTGACTGAGGACAAGTTTGAAGAACCTGTGATGCAGATTAGAGACACATCTAAGTTTAACATGTCCCAATTGTCCAGTTACTTACAATTTTCTAGGGGAACCATTTTTGTCCAGGACAGTTTCATTTGTTAATTTTTTAAAATTATTATTAAACAATTCAAAAACAGTGTCTGATTTTCATTGTTTTTTCAGTAAATTTTTATTTATTATTGCTCTTTTTACTTTCAAGTTATTTCAGTGGCCATTATTGAATTTCTTTCATTACCAAAGACAATTTTGTCCACGCCTGTATATTTACTACAGGTACTAACCAAACCACGTATATATTATATTATTATTAGTATTAGGTTTTCATGTGTTTATAATACTATCAGTGTAAAAGCTCACTGTGTTTAATCTCTGCTTTTCCTGTTTGGGGAAATGTGCTCACTTGAAGTCATTTATGTCTGTCAGGTTTGGTCTGCTGCCCCTCAGTTCGTCCAGCGCGAAAGTCGAAGAGCACAGGCAGGACCACAGAGGCCATCCACCCGCTGGTACGTGTTTCTCCTCCTAATGTGGAATCTACTTAAATGTGTAATATTCATGTGATTTTACAGTGTTGAGTTTAATCCTGGACAAGTTAGTAGGTTTAGTTTATTTAAGTTTAAAGAATTTGTATCATTATTTACTAAATATTAACTAGTCAAAGCCATAGACATATGGACAGAGCTAGTCCACTAGCCAATGTGTTCCATATAGCAAGTGAGCTTGGGCACAGAGAGGTTCCACTGAAGTCTGGTTCCAACTGACATCTATTGAAAAAATGTTGTGGCTCTCTGTAACTGCTGCTGTCAGCCTTGTTGTTGTGCTCTTAAAATGTTCGTTTTAACTGCCTCTGCATGATTTTGCTGTTTTGTCCATAAATAAAGATGATAAATTCTAACAATTATAGCAATCAGGTAGCTTTTTTTCTTGAGGTCTGCTGCTGCTAGCTATAGCAACAGATATGACTGACAGCTAGTGCACCTCATTCTCTTGATTGGCGCTTTGATTTTGGACTTGGATGTTCAAATATAATCAGTGGCTGCAGATTAGGCACTCTAACTGCTAGCCTTGATTAGAGCGACCAAACATCCCTTTTTGGGGTCCTGTCCTGGGCGTCCGGGTTTTTTTTCATAAAGTGATGGAAATGTCTGGGTTTTCATGATGTTTCATTGGGGACATTAAACGGAGCGTCTCTCGTAGCTCTGTGACTCAGAAGGAGCGAGCAGACACAAAACAGTCAGTCAGTCTGCAACATGCCAAAGGGCAAATGGGCATTCAACAATGACTTGGACAAGAAATTCCAGGTTTTCCGTCCCGGTCGGGACAAGTAGGAGGCCATGTGCACAGGTTGCGAGGTAAGAGTAGCTCAGTGTCGAGGCCCTACCCTGCCCCCCAGGTAAGGTGGCTGGGTTTTCACAAATGGAAATATGGTCACCCTAGCCTTGATGAGTTTCATTTGTTTGCAATCAAAGACAATGGGTGACGTCACACTCCCTTAGTCTGTAGTTAAAACTACTTCAGTATTCAGACTTCAAGTTTTATTCCATTGTCAAAGCTTTTTTTCTGACACTTAAAAACATATTGTGATTTGGAGCAGAACCATTGGTCAAAGACTTGTGTGTGTCTCCAGGTGTCCACAGCATCCACAGCAGCCAGCGAGGACCCCTACAGGCCGGGCAGTCTGTTCAAACAGCTTGCACAGCAGGAGGACGACGCAGCCGCCTCCTCTCTCTTCAGACTCGGCTGGCTCTCAGGCATGACCAAGTAACTGCTCCTCCCATTCATTTATGAGCTTTTGTAAAACTTTTGTAAAAAATGATTGTCTATGAAGAACTTGAAGTGATGTTAATAATAAAAATAATTTAAAAAAAAGTCACATTTATTTCTGTCTCTCTGTTATTTGCTGTATTTGCAAGATTATCATGCTATTGGACCCCTGGAAGATTTTTTTTTTTTTTTGGGGGATCCAATAAATATTATTAATTCAGTTCAACAATTCAAGCTAAATATTAATAAATTTTATATTTATTTATATGCATTTATAAAGAACTGTGTATAGGAGTTATCCTGAACTAGTGTGTGAGTGTGTGGGCCTGGGTCTGACCTCTGTGAGTGTGTGTGGGCCTGGGTCTGACCTCTGTGAGTGTGTGCGGGCCTGGGTCTGACTGCTGTGAGTGTGAGGGCCTGGTTCTGACCTCTGTGAGTGTGTGTGGGCCTGGGTCTGACCTCTGTGAGTGTGTGCGGGCCTGGGTCTGACTTCTGTGAGTGTGTGTGGGCCTGGGTCTGACCTCTGTGAGTGTGAGGGCCTGCGTCTGACCTCTGAGTGTGTGTGGGCCTGGTTCTGACTTCTGTGAGTGTGTGCGGGCCTGGGTCTGACCTCTGTGAGTGTGTGCGGGCCTGGGTCTGACTTCTGTGAGTGTGTGTGGGCCTGGGTCTGACTTCTGTGAGTGTGTGTGGGCCTGGGTCTGACTTCTGTGAGTGTGCGGGCCTGGTCGGTGATAAAAGTATTTGAACTGATCGTGGTTCCTTAATGTCTGGTGATATATCAGGGTGATTTTATGAGTTATTTCTTACATACTGTTCTTTTAAATGATATTAAGAAATTATTACATAATTGGCAGCAGTTTTTAAACTAGCAAATAATGTAGTAACCAGTGTTGGGAAGGTGACTTTTAAAATGTATTCCCCTACCGATTACAGATTACATACCCCAAAATGTAGTTTGTAATGTAATCCATTAAATTACTTAAAGTGAGTAACGTAATCTGAATACTTTGGATTACTTGATTTGCTGTAGAGAAGCAAAGACTAGGAAATCTTCACATAAGATGTTTTGTCTGCTAAAAGAAAATAAAAAGTCTTTACTTATCCAAATTAAAAATATTATTGATAGAAGAAAAGGAGACACGGTCCACGCAGCATGATTTAGTCCTGTTAAATACTGTTTGAGACATAGTTTAGACCTGGTTTAGTCCTGGTTTAGTCTTGGTTTAGTCCTGATTTAGATCTGGTTTAGACCTGGTTTTTACCTGGTTTAGTCCTGGTTTGGACCTGGTTTAGACCTGGTTTAGACCTGGTTTAGACCTGGTTTGGACCTGGTTTAGACCTGGTTTTAGACCTGTTTTTTGTCCTGATTTTAGTCCTGGTTTAGACCTGGTTTAGTCCTGGTTTAGTCCTGGTTTAGTCCTAGTTTAGACCTGGTTTAGACCTGGTTTAGTGTCCAGCAATGAGTGGAATTATCGAGAAAAAAAAAAAAAAAGGGATATGGCCCAAAATGTGCGAACAGGAGCCATGTAATCCATTTATTTTAACAAAGTAACTGTAATCCAATTACTCACTTAAACAGTAATTGTAACAGAATACAGTTACTCATAATTTGTACTCTGATTATCTAACTCTGGTACATGTAATCTGTTACTCCCCAACACTGGTAGTAACTAACCAAAAATGTAATATGTTACCACATTATTGGCATTAGGTTATTACGTTATTGTTTCAGACATTATCTTACATTACCGGCAAGTTATTACATTATTGGCCACTGTTACATTATCGCCTGCTATAGGGTGGAACATCAAAAGTTATCCAAATTTTTGCTTTCTGTTTTTGAGCAGTGAAGCAACAAAAAATAAATGCACAACATTTTGGAGATTTTGTGGCAATATTTATCATTATTAGGCCCGGGCGCCATGGGTGGCATAGGGCCTGTTGTGATCATTCAACAGTGCAAAGCGCTCTCCCCTTTCCAACCACAGTGGCACTCATGTCATCGACTGGTGCCCGCTGACTTGACATGGTGGCATTGCCAATGGCCGCAATAGCAGCCTAATTGTATTTGCTCAAGTCAAAACATAAGCGTTCTCCCCTTATCAAACACTCAATAGTGCCACTCATGGTATCCAGTAGTACAGACTGGCATTGCCCGTTGCTGCAATAGCATCTCAATAAAATCATCAATAAAACTTTGACGGTGCTGAGGAGGTTTGTATATGACTATGTAGAGTATGGATGGTGATTGTTTTAGCTCCATTTTGAAGGAAACATACTCAAATGATGAAAACACCCCAAATGACAACCTGTGTGTAACCAAATGATCTCTAAAAAATGCACACACTCCTCCACCCTTTTTATTTGTTCGAGTTTCAGATTCAAATTGGAATTTGGGAGGGGTTGATTCCACCAGCACTGCATTACCTGGTTTTGTCAAGCCATGTTTCAGTTAAAAACATAAAGTCAAGATTAAAAGAAGAAATTAAATCATTAATTATAAATGATTTGTTGCATAAAGATCTGACATTGAGTACAGGAAGCTGGTCTATGTGTTGTAACTGGAGATACAGCTCCATCGCAGGGCCCCAGCCTGATGTTACCTTTATCATGACTGTATGTCCTGGGACAGCAGAGGCCCTGTGCGTCCGAGCTCTTGGTGATAACAGCTCTGGGGAAAGGCGGGGGAGGGCGAGCAGGGGAGAGTTTGGTTGAGGGACCCGGTAAGGACCGAGGAGGTGAAGCAGATGATCTATGATGTAACGATATTAGCATTGTCTTTTGTCACTCGCTGCTTTATCTTAGCATTTTGGTCTGTACCAAGTTTTGGAAAAGACACAGTATCACTCAGGTTTAAGTTAAAAGAATTTTCATCCTCTTCTCTGGAAGTAACTGTGAGCTGCTCACCGCTGGAAGTCACTTGGAGCATCTGAAGTCCTTGTTCCGTTTCTAAAGCAAATATCTGTGCTTGTAGCTCATTAATTTCTTGATAGCTCCGACAGCGCTCACAGATAGAATTCCCTTGGATTCTTCCCTCCGACATGTTGCTGGCTCATCAGATGATTTATTAAAAAATTTTAAAAATGGTTTAAAAGTCTTTTAGGAAGTCAAAAATAGACACATTATCCAGTGTTGGAGGAGGTAAACTGATTAAAAAGCAAAGTAACGAAGGAAACAGCAGGAGCAAGCAAGGACAGCGTCTGCACTCTTCAGAAGCAGCAACAGATGATCAGACATCATCTGGTGCCAGGCAGGGTCAAAGTCAAAGAAGTCTGCCTGAGGCCTTCACAATCTGTTCTGCAGACCCTCAAACATGAAAAAAAAAGTCCATGAAACTGCTGCTTCAACCAATCAGATTTTGAGTTGGTTATATTATATATATTTTATATAATTGAGATATATATATTGAGATTATATATATTGAATATAATTAGAGATATAGATAGATATATAGATATATAATTAGAGATAGATATAGATATAATAACCAATATAATACATTCAAGTTTTAATAACCAATATGTATCAATGTATGTTTTGCATTTTTATTTCATTATTTTTTATGAATTTCTTTACAATCAAACAACTTCTTGCAGCTTTGTAGTTTTAGATTGTGTTTTTGCAATGTTTAATTTAATTGGAAATTATAATTAAGTACAATTAACAATAACTTGCATATCACATTTCAAAAATATTATTACAATGTGCTTTACACAATTACAATCATGGTCTACAAAAATTGCAGCTACCCCTGTCCCTGTGTCTGCTCCGGGCACTCGCACTTCTACTTCTTGCGGTCCACTTTGCTCATCATGGCCTTGACGTCGATGGGAGCAGCAGCAGCGGCGGCCTTGGCCTTGTCCGCCTCCTCCTGCTGCCAGAGAATTATGGGATGAATTCCAGGGTTTCGGTTCTGGGCGTTCTGCTCCAGCTGCGCTGGGCTGTGGAGGCACAAGCAAACACACACACTGTCATGAGTACCTGCTCCATATCAGCTGATCTGTGATTTTCAGATTCTACAGTGTGGTGATCATACTCCCAGATGGGGTCAAGAGACAGATTTATCTATTGATTAAATTGTATTTGACCATGAAATATCCAAAAGGTAAATTCACAGATGTTGAACCTGAGCTTTTCTATTCTATTTCTATTCTATTCTAATTCTGCATTTGACCAACATTCATTTGAGCTGCCCCCATATGTATATGTTATATATGTATACATATGCATATGTTACATATGTATACATATGTGTATGTTACAACAGGGCCTCCTCCCTCTCAGGTGATGTTCCTCACCTGAAGTTGTGTGCCTCTGGGCTCAGGGCTTTCTTCTGGATGTCCTTGTACGTGGGAGACTTGAGGTACCGGAAGAACGTGTCCTGCACAAACAAGACATACACACACACAAACACACACAGTTAAGGCTGTAGAAAGCTGCATATGAAATTTGTCTCACAAAATATTCAGATTTCAAAGGCCAACTATGTAGTTTATAAGGTGGAGGGTTCGCTATTTTCTTGTCTCCATGGAGATGTTATTTCTTTCCATGGAATCTCTGCCTTGAATTAATTCAATAATATGTATTTTATAGCTCAAAAATAACTTGAAAAACAGGAATTGTTACTATCTGTCTTGCTTAGATCTGACAATTAACTTGTCTCCATTGTTATTACCAAATTTATTCCATCCTGTGAAATAATCAAGGCAAAGCAGTAACATCTAGCAGTATCACTAGAAAAGTTATACTCATATTTAGGGCTGTGAGAAAAGGTACAGAACACTGGAACCCCCAAAAATCTTTGCTTGTTTATTTTACAGTGTCTATATGGCGTGCATAATGACTGTAGTTTGTTTATGTGGGAGTTTTTTAACCTCTCATGGTGCACTTCAAGCTTCTTGCATATGTATTCCAGTGTAGTTTGTGCTACAAATGGAAAACTTTAATTCCATTTATCAACTTGACACAACATGAAATATTTGTGTTAGGAACAGTAACATCTTAGGTAGGTAGCAAAGTAGATAAATATAAATAATAGGTGTAATTTTAGGTTGTTTAATACATTCTTCTAACCCGGCTCATGCCAGACTGATATGAGCAACACTCGGAAATTAGTTCTACACATGATCAATGTGCAATCAGTCTGAAAGTGATCAGAAAATGTGAAAATCATGACAGTTATTTAAAGTGTCACAACAGTGGAATACACCAAAAAAAAAAAAAAAAAAATCATCCAATCCAGATGAGAGAAAAGCACAGGCATCTTCTCTGTCCACAGATGCACAAAGCGTTTCCCTCTGCAGGTCTTACTGTACTGACACCAAAATAAACTCAAGTGGGTTCCACAGCAACCTCATGAACCTCAAACGTGATTGGTCCACCAGCCTGATTAACCTTACATTGGAATTATCTCAACGGGAGTCTCCAAACTCATAAGACTTAGCAAACTCATGAGAATAAGTGTGGAAAGTTTGCTTTTTTCAGCAATTCATGCGTTTCAGCTTCCTATTATAAGCAACATTATGGCTATAGTCTAACAAACTACTACTTAATAAAACCAAATCATACTTTATGTTGTTTCAGAAATGAATCTGTGCTTTTTCTGTTCATTATATAAATCTGACATTTACTGATTCATCGCTAATTATAACTGCTGAAAAATGTATATATCTTGGTTTATGGCTTGACCCTCACTCATTCAGCACTCAGCACATTCATACAAACTTTATCAGTCCGTTAATTGTTTTAGCTTTTCTGTCAGGAAAAAGATGATCTCACAACTAATTCTTCATAGATTACTACGATATCATTTATCAAAATACTACAACTTCTATCCTCCAACCACTCAACGTTATCTAGAACAGTCTTTGCAGATTCATCCTGTGCTGTCTGGTTCAGTATTTACAAAACCTGTGTCATTGTTTTGATAATTTTGTTGAATTTTGTTGTTCATCTTGTTGTATTTTGTGACTATATTTGAACTCTGTCTTAGTTTTTTGTTCAAATTTGATTTATTATGTGTCTAACAGTCAAGAGTGAGTGTGTGTGTGTGTGTGTGTGTGTGTGTGTGAGTGTGTGTGTGTGTGTGTGTGTGGTTGTGTTGATTTTATTGTTTTGATGTTTATTTGAATGTATATATCCTACTGTCTGCCCTACTCTATCTGTCTTTTGTTGTCAAACATTTTGGGTACAGACCTAATCAATACTAAAGTAAAGCATGATTAAGAGTCCAGGCTGTTAATCAGGGTCTGTCCACACTGGTTCACCTTCTTCATGAGCAGGAACACATGTGTCTGTGCTGCCTCCAGGACGTAGCGGTGTGGATGGTCCAGGCCCTTCACTGTCAGCCCCATGGTTCTCCCATCAATGTTGATCCAGCGAGGGGCGCCAGGGGCCAGGAAAGTCCTACGTACCAAACACATTAGCCACATGAGTAAATGCACAAGTGTAATACAACTTTCACTACTAGTACTTACAATTACTCCAAGTATCACTTCTTGTCCCATTACAAGTACCACAAAGTGCTGCTAATATTTATACTGTATGTACCAGAAGTACCAGCCCAAAGTACCACCACAAGTAACACAGTAACTACTCCAAGAACTACCACTGAAATGATCTGATATTTCCAGTATCTAGTACTAGTATACCTAGTAAGTCCTGGACTTAATTTAAAGTGCTACCATTTTTTCTTTGTAAACCTGCAATTAACTTAGAGTTAGACAAAATTTATTGTTCCACAAGGGAAAGGGAAACTTAATTTTAAGGTGTGTCATGTAACTTTTCTGGTGGAGGTATGTGAGCTTCAAGTCTGGAGATGTTTTTACGTTGCCTGGAAGGTTCCACTGTAAATCCTTAAACATTACTTTTATTGTATTGCTAAATTAAAGCTGCATTCTTACAGTGTGTACATCACTCCACAGACCTGACCTGTAACTTGGCCTTGGCATCACCTCCTTGTCTCCATGGAGATAGAGAACTTTAATACCAGACTGTGGGACATTATTTAAAACGCAATAATGTATGTATGGAGAGAAACTGGTGGTGGACTCATACACATTACATCTTTAAAGCCACACCACGCAACATTTAAGATGATCCTGAACTGCACCTGACTTACATTAATAGTGTGTTCACACTTGTTCCTCTGGTCTAGGGATGCACTGATACCATCGACTGTATACAAAAGTGGACTATGCATTCCACTCTAGTCCAATGAAGCTCATTGGTGCTTGCAGTTAATGGCCAGTTTGGAGCCAGGTTCTATATTATGAATAGGACTATTCTGATGGACAAAATAGCAAAAAACAAAACAACCTCCCCCCGGGGAAGACCCAGGACACACTGGAGGGACTATGTCTCTGGGCTGACCTGGGAACACCCCAGGAAATCTGAAGGAAATCTAGGAATCTCTGCTTTGACTGCAGCCCCGTGACCGGGCCCCAGATAAGTGGAAGAAAATGGATGGATAGATGGAAAACAAAACACCAGGATCAAGTAGGGCGGGTTAATGTGAACATTTTAAGACCAAAATGAAGAGGTTCACTGCAGCAGGTACAGAGAGAGGAGCCACAATATTCCAATGTAAGTCAATGGGAGCTGGAAGAGCAGCTAGCACTTTAGCTATGTCCATTTATATATACAGTCTGTGACTGATACCTGTACAAGTGTATGGCAGATTATTGCAAAAAAAAAAAAAAAAAAAAAGATCAAGTTAGCTTGATTGGGTATCAGTTCCATGATATCAGTTCTGCCTTCAGTTCTGGCTGAACCTTTATGTTGGATGTAAAAAGACTAGTTACTGGCAAATATTGGTCTAGAACATTTCATGTTGATAAACTTTTATTCATACAAAGATGTTCAGTTCATTTCTGGATGACAATCACAACTGGATCCATTTTATAGTATGTTAACTGTGTTTAGTTGGAAATAAAATGCCTTTCTCAGTTCCTATTAGTGGAGATGTTAAGGACCAAAATAGTTCACTTTTATGGTACAAGTATGAAACTTTGTCAGATCACTAACACCTCCAGGACTAAATATTTCTGGATATGGTACCAAGTCTAATTTAACACTAGAGCTGAGAACTGCACCTGTCACAAAATGGATTATATAAAAATGAAGCTGTGATAAAAATACTGCACAATCCCTTTCTTATAGTCTAAGCCATATTTATCATATTTATTGGGTTTTTGATAACAAAAAACATTTAACCATCTTTAATGATCTTTAATGATGAGGCAACACGGAAAGAGGCTATGGCCAAAAACCTGCAAAGAGTGAGACAAGTCCTAAGAAGCAGCTCAATGGCAAGAACAAGGCACAGGCAATCAACAGCTACTCCCTGCCAGTGATCAGATCCTTGCAGGAATCATGCACTGGCCAAATGAGGAGATACAGACCACAGATGTTCAGACACAAAAGCTCCTGACCATGCATAGAGGGTTCCATCCCAAACCCTGAGACTGTACGTGAGAGGGATGAGGTGCTCAGAGAATGTCTCAGACAGTGGGGTCCAGAGGAAGAGGTGCTGGAGGGACCATCATGACAGGACAAGCCCACAATATAGTATTAAATCTTTCTGTCATCATGGAGACCAAAAAACAAGTTACGGGTCAAACCTGTGGAAAGGTGACCCTGTATTTTTGAGCTATAAAACCACCTGTAATTGAATACATGTGTATTGTCAAGCAATGACATAACCATAGAAACAAGCAGATGGCCACAAATGTTGGTCCTAGGGATGTTAATAATCTGGCAAAGTTTCATGCTTGTACCATAAAAGTGAACAATTGGGCACTTTTTTGGTCCTTAACAGCTCCACTAGATTGGTTAATATCAGGTACTGAATAGATAATAAAAGTCAAAGTATCAATATCAGTGTCGGAAGTGAAATAAATAGATCTGTGCATCCATAATTTGGACCTGGTTTGAGCCTAGTTTGAGTACCAATGTAGACTTGGTTTGGTCTAGTCCTGGTTTAGTCCTTGTATAGTCCAGGTTTAGTTTCAGATCTAGTCCTAGTTTAGAACCAGTTTGGACTGTAAAATGTCAACACACCCTTATTATAAGCCAAGCCTCAGGTTTTCTTATGATACAACAGTAGTGGCAGTAGCTTCCACAGTATATGGGACAGAAAAGCAAAATATCAGCAGTATGAGTAGTATCAGTAGTATCAGCAGTATGAGTAGTATCAGTAGTATCAGCAGTATGAGTAGTAGTAGGAGTATGAGGAGAGGAGACTACATGGGTTGGTGCTATGTTCTGGTGCAGTGTTTGAGAACTCACTTGAAAATGGTCTCTGCCTTGGCCGACATGGAAGAAGCTGTGCCCCACTTGAGCTCCTCAGCTGCCTCCCAAAAGGCCAGGTTCTCCCCTGCACACACACACACACACACACACACACACACACGCACACACACACACACACACACACACACACACACACAGACACGCATGCACACACACACAGCTCAGCTCAGAGCATGTCCTGCACCACCTACTGTGAGGAACCACATGAGGAACTATCTGAGGAACCATGTGAGGAACTATGTGAGGAACTATGTGAGGAACTATGTGAGGAACCATGTGAGGAACTATGTGAGGAACTATCTGAGGAACCATGTGAGGAACTATGTGAGGAACTATGTGAGGAACCATGTGAGGAACCATGTGAGGAACTATGTGAGGAACTATGTGAGGAACCATGTGAGGAACCATGTGAGGAACTATGTGAGGAACTATGTGAGGAACTATGTGAGGAACCATGTGAGGAACCATGTGAGGAACTATGTGAGGAACATGTGAGGAACATGTGAGAACTATGTATGTGAGGAACCATGTGAGGAACTATGTGAGGAACCATGTGAGGAACCATGTGAGGAACTATGTGAGGAACCATGTGAGGAACTATGTGAGGAACTATGTGAGGAACCATGTGAGGAACTATGTGAGGAACTATGTGAAGAACCTACCACTGAACTCTTTCTTGAGGAAGATCTTAAAGTCATCACGTCCTCTCAGGTCCACCAGCAGCTCGTACAGGCTGAAGGACCAGCGTTCCACACGCATCTTAGTGGGAAGCTCCACACTGAAAATACAGCCCGTTTATAGAACATTAGAACACTATTTAGAACTGCACTGGTGCTTTCTGTATGTTACCTGTTACTAATAAACTAGATGTTCAAAAAAAGTGTATGTAGCCTGTGCTACAGTTTTTTTTAAGGTAATCACGACTAAACCTGGGTTGCCAGAGCCTTAACCCGCAGGTAGAGATTCTCTCCCTGAGTTGCAGAGGCTGCACTAGCACTGACTCACGATTGGCAGCGGGTGCCGGGGTTTAGGTAGAGAACATTCAGTAGATCAGATTAGATCAGGTTTAAACCAACAGGATTTCACAACTGAAACTGACAACCCAAATGAGAGGCTCATTATACTGAGAAATATACATTCCATAAATGTAATGTATTATATAACCTGATAGAAGCTCTTTGTTGTTTGTTTCCTTCCATCTGTGATCTCATCTGGTACCAGCTACATGTGATGTGATGTGGTCCTGTCAGTGCTGGAGTGTGGTACCAGCACTCATCATACACCAGGGTTACAGTGATCTAACCTGTCAGACCATTTTGTCTTTTGTACATTTTCACTGACAAATAAAGCAATCATGTCAGGTTAACAGTTTGTTCTCTGCTGTTGTAACATTAGTGAGCAGAGAGGACTGACCATACAGACTCTGTGGTCTGACCTGCGCGTGTTGAGTGTCCAGTAGCTGTCGTTGTCCGTTTGCCAGGGGTTACTGGGCAGGCACGGGGCCAGGAATGGGTCATGGTTCTTGTAGGTGGTCACATATTTCACCAGTCTGGAAAAACACAACCACAGCGTCACTAGACAAGATCATTTTATTATTTAGGCTCAGGTGAAAGGTCACTGCATATAGATGAAGAGAGCGTGTGGACATGTATTCACGGGGCTCTGGCTAGTGCATTGTCATAGAAATAAGTTCTCTGATCAGTTGATAGATGCTCACGTGGCTCATAGTGGAGTGAATGATGTGCAGTGTGTGAACAAGCTGTGAACAGAACTAAATCTAGTGCTCTCTGAGGTTGGTCCAGAGAGCGGAGCAACATGTGTGAAAACTCACAGTAGTCACAAGTTTTACTCAAGTAAAGAGTACTCTTACTCAATAAAAATGTTACTCAGGTAGGAGTATGATATATTACTCAAGTAAATGTAGTGGAGTACTTCCCACCTCTGTATTAATCACAAACCAGGTCTACACATTTGCATTTTGCCTGAATGAATCCTTAGTGACTTACGCTCCCAGGGACACGCTGGACTTGACCCTGGACCTCATGATGGTCTGCTGGTAGAAGATGTTCTACAGGAGAGGAGAGAGGAGAGAGGGTCAGTGTCAGTCAGTGTGGAGATGTCACAGAATGATTTGAATGGATGTACTTACCATACGTCTGTACTGGTCAAAGGTGATTTTCTGTGGACACAAAGTCACAAGTCAACTACATAAAGACTTACAGTTCAACAGCAATATCTCAGCCACAAACATTTTAAAGGCCCTGTACATGGCATCAAATTATAAAGCATTTGTTTTAAAAAAATATAATCAGGAGGTGTGTATAGCATGCTAGTTGTCACAGCAATACGTCACTCTCTTCTCTGAAAGTTGTGAAAAACTCATCCTGATGAATAATTGGGATGGTTAGAATGTACAAGGTGAATGAGGTAAACATTTGGATGAAGCACTGCACACTGTTTAATAATGCACTCTTCTGGGTATATTTACTAAGCATCTGTGACGTGCTAAATGCATTGGATACATTAAAAAGGCAGACGCAGCGCTGAGTTTGCTCCTGGGACTAAATGAATATGAAAAATGGGGCGTTTTGGGTAAAATGTGGAAAAAGGAGGAGAAAATGGAGATGCAGTGATTTAGCAGGCACTGTCAATTTATCAAGACAATGGGAGCAAAACCTGTGTGTACGTTTTCTACGTTGGAAAGAAATTTCCAGTTTCTGCAACAACAGTGCATTAGAAGTGATGTCAGTATGTAAAAGTGATTTTACATTAATTCACAAAATGAAAATATCCTAATAATTACCCTGTTTTGAAGACAGACGTGGTGTAATAAAAAGACCTAAACCTGTGATACTTTGGTCCTGTTCCACTAAAGAGGCGAGTGTCCCTGTCCACCACACTCACTCCACGCAGTGTACGGGAGGAGGTGCGGTTAGTGCATCTTTTCTCCCGCTAATTCATGTCCAGTATATATTGTGTCCCAGACAAGGCATTTTCCACAGCTCTGTAGGTTACAGTAAACATTTAGTCTGGGCTTCCAAGCACGTCTCGCCATACTGCCACTCCGACAGACCCCCACATCGACCCCCATTCTGACACCTTTTGATGTCGCCGTTCCGACACCGATGAAACCAGGACGAAACCAGAACAGAACCAGGACTAAACCAGGACTAATCTTGGACATGAGAGACAGAGAGGGAGAACTCCAAGACCGTGGAGCAGGGTGTCCTCAAAGCGCATTTGGGCGACTGCTGCGCTTTGCCCCGTAAGGGGAAAATGCAAGAAAAATTAAGTTTTGGTTACATTTGAACTCATAAAACAGGAGCATGTAGCCTACTGCACATCAGGCCGGAGCAGAAGCACTGAGTTCAGGCAACAGCGATAAAGGAACACGAGGAACACAGGACTCCGTCCTCCATGTGCTGGTTCGGTGGTCGAGAAAGAACAGTGCGCAATGGACTGGGTCCGAGTGGGTCCGTGCCGTCGTCTACGCACTGGATCAATGCGGCAAAAGTGAGAATGTGCTGTGGACTACAGGAGGGCTGCTCCTGTCCTCCGTGCTGGACCAGGCTGCGGCTGGACTGCGAGGTGGTTCAAAGCATCCGGACAAAAGCATGAATCCGGTTTGGTTTGTTATATGTTGTTCTGGGCGGTCCATCCACCCCGCACTTGCTCTGACCTTTTGAACACTCAGGGCGAGTGGTTCTATTGTAGACAGGAAACAGCTGACGCGCTGATGTCAGAGTGTGACCCAAACCTGTCGGACTTTGGTTGAGTTTCCATTCTCTACTTATACTGTGTATATTCAGGACGCTGTCCATGGTGCTAAATGCAGCAGATAGAAAGGCAGGTAGGTAGCATGGATAGATAGATAGATAGATAGGTACATAGATAGATAGAGAGATAGATAGATCGATCAATATAATAATATCGCATTAATATAATTCATGTTGGAAAAGAGGAATGTTTGAAAAAATACTTATATAAGGAAGACTGCTTATGCACACGGGGCAGAAACAGTGCAGTCCTTTTGTACAGATGCTAAAACTTTTCATTTACAGGAGGAAAAAGGGGCATTGTTTCTAATGATAAATCAGGTGCAACATGCCCACAAATAGTACACAGTTTGCACTTGAAATGTAGCACATGCTTAGTAAATATACCCCTAAGTCTTATACAGCGCTTTTCCACATGCTCTGTCTGTATACAGTTTTGTGCTTTCTTCATTCACTCCACAGTGAGTGGTGTTAAGCTACTGTTGTAGCCACAGCTGCCCTGGGACAAAATCACAGAAGCGAGGCTGCCAATCTGCGCCATCGGCCCCTCCCACCGCCACATTCATACGTACTATGGGGATGAAGTGTCTTGTCTTGTCACTGAGGCATCTGAAATTTCCAGCAGTCTGTCATCCAAGTCCTACCCAGGCCCAGCCCTGTGTTCATGTATATTCATCTGTGCAGCTCTCTTTTACCATCAGAACTGGGTGCCAGACTGCCCATTGTCCAATTTGAATCTGTAGAAAGTAGACTGGAGTGGACAGAGCACCTACCTCATCTGCGCTGGGGTCCAGGAGGCGCTCCGGCCCTGTGTCCATAGCACTGTGAGTGCGTCTCTGTAAGCACAAGAGCAACATGAGGGGCTGGTATAACGTGTGTCCTGCTATTGATGTGGGAAATCTCAAGTCAGATGGTTAGATATGTTTAGTCTCTTTTCGGTTGCTAAATAAACAGAAAGCATTTACTCATGTGAATTGAAATAAGCTAAATAATCTAAATGATAAATGTTCTAACAAAGTCTACGAATAATTGTGCTGCTAAAAAGTACATTTAAAAATGTGCAATTGCTATTCAGATGAATACAATTCTGTTACATTTAACCTGTGCTCTTATTTTAAAAAAGAAGTTCCATTGCAACTGTGTTACCAGAGTCTTACATCAAAAATGACTTGCTCATCGGTGTTCTTGTAATTAAGAATAAATCAGTATTACAGTTACACACATGATGTTTATGACATTTAAACTTAAATACAGATCTTACATTCAGACCCTTAAACTGGTGTGGGCCATGTGTTTCATGTGTGTAGCTCACAGTTTGTCTGTTCCTCCTGTTATGTTGTTATGTGATAATAGAAGCTTTAGGTCCCACTGACCGGAGGGCGGTTGACCACCCAGTAGGCTCGCTCCTGACAGTCCAGCACCACACGGTCAGCCTTCTTACGCTCCTTTCCCGCCCTGTACACACACACACACACACACGCACACACACACACACACACACACACACACACACACACACGTTTGACATTACATTTCGTGGAGGCTGGTCCTAATCTTAACCATAGTCACTACTTTCCTAACCTTCACTAATAAATAAACTCATAAACTTAATCTATGTGAAACCTTATCTCAGCTTTAAATGATGTTGTTGATGATTTACTTCACTGGTAACCTGATTGTTGTTCCCATGAGACAAACAGACACGGTAAAAATGGACGTAGTGGGATTAGCATCTGTTATCTCTGCTTTACGGGTGCTGTGCTAAATTTGCTCCTGGATCAAATTAATCTGTAAAATGCCACATTTTGGCCAAAGTGCACACATTTAGGCCTAGTTCTTCTCTCAGACAGAAAACACTGTGCCACCTTTGCACGTCATGTGGTGATACATTAAGTGCTCCACTGTGTTTTTAAACTCCCCATACCTTCACTAGAATCATTTGGATCATTTCAGCCTTGGAAGTACCACTCTCTACTGAACAAAAGGTCAAAAGTAGCTATTACACTACCACAACAACTAGCACTTGGAGATGTTGAATGACTAATAATAAAGGATTACTAAAGCATACACGAATAAAACAAAAAACAACTCCAAGTGTGTTTTCAAGGCTGTAACAGCATTATAACATGGCTTAAAGCTCACAAGAATCAATTTTGCATCATATAGGACCTTTAACGATTAAAAATAAACATCGACACAGCACTGTTAAAGTCTACAAAAGTGTTGTGTTCAATAAATGTGTGTGACTAAGATGTAGCATGTGCGGTTTAGGGACAGAATAAAGTGCAGTGACTTGTGACAGTGTCCTACAGATGATGATTCACATTCAAAAGAGCAGATGAAATAACTTGTATAGGCACACTCACTTGTGCTGCTCTGAGGCCTGCATCACAATGAAGTCCCACTTGTGGTTGAGCCATTTGTGCAGGTGGTTGTAGTGAGCCTGACACACAGAACACACACACACACACACACACAGACACACACACACATGCATTAGAATGGACTGGTCTGGGAAATACATCAATGTTCAAAATAAAGAAAGCAGCAAAGTTGTTTTAATCAAAGAAGTACAGAGCTCATTCTGCTTTCTGGTTGGATCACTGGCTCTTACCAAAATATAATCATGAACAACTTTTGCATAATAGTTTCTTGTAAATGTGAAAAAAATCAATGTTGAAATAGTTTGTAGTAAAATAAACATTTGATATGGGCCATGGGCTTGGCTCAAACTAGCACCAAACCAGGACAACAATGGACCATTCTGAAGCTCTAATTCTGAATCCACACAACCATAACCCGATTTTACCTGCTCATATGGCTCCAGCAGGCCCTTCTTGCGGATGTTCCTCTTGGCCAGGTAAATGGCTGCAGACACACAAACACAGTGAATATAAAGTCTCAGTATCATTGTGAGCACCAGGCTAAATATTGTGTGTATTGATACTTTGCAGTGACATCATGTGGGGGGTGCTCTACATGCAGAGAAGGTTGATAGGAGCCCTTGCATTTTTTCTTCATTTATTTCTGTTTGTCCAGCTTCTGGTAAAAGAGGACTCTCAATCTCATAAACATATAAAACATGAAAGGAAATCTGTAACCCACTTATTTTTAATCAACTCAACCATTCTGAGAAGAATCTGGACCCACAAATAAAAAAATAACAGGAAAGAAATCTAAACAATTGAATAGGAATTTTATATGAATTCCGCCTGGACTGTTTTGCCTCATTACAAGTCCCAAATCTCATGTTTAGTGAGAGCTGCTTCAGCTTTGACATGGGAACTGTCAAGACCCAGTTAGTGACTATCTTGTAACTGTAATCAGAATTTGAGGGACTTAGTTTAACATCACCCATCAGTTCACCTGCTGAAACCTGAAATTTCAACTACATCATCAGTCAGATTCAGTGAAATAAAGCTAAGACTAGACAGAACTGTGCCTACAGTTAGAGAATGTTGATGACATCAGCTGCAAAGTATCAATATCTAAGAATACTCGGGCCCAGTCAAGTCATGTTTGGAAGTACAAGACATGGACAACATTTTTAGTACCCCTTTGGTAATGAAAGAAAAATCAATTATGGTCACTGAACTAACTTGAAACTAATGAATTGTTGAATTGTTTGAATTGTTGTTCAACAAAATTATTTTTAAAAACAAACTAATGAAATTGTCCTGGACAAAAATGATGGTTCCCCTAGAAAAGCTGGTAAATACTTGAACAATAAGGACATGATAAACTTGGGTGTGTCTCTAATCTGCATCACAGGTTCTTCAAACTTGTCCTCAGTCAGTGTGTCTGTTTAAAGGGGACATGTGTCACTGTGCTGTTTGGAGACATGATGGACACAACACTGAACATGGACCAGAGAAAGAGAAGAAGAGAACTGTGTCAGGAGACTAGAAAGAAAATGACAGACAAGCAGGTTAAAGATAAAGACAATAAGACCATCTCCAAGCAGCTTGATGTTCCTGTGATTACAGTTACACATGTTCTTCACAAGTTTAAGGTCCACAGACTGAAGCCAACCTCCCAGGACGTGGCAAAAGAGGGAAATTTATGACAAATTGAAGAGATGGATCATACAAATGGAACCAAAGAGCCCAAAACAACCTCCAAACAAATTAAATGTGAACTTGAACATTTTTCAGTACATTTGTATTTATTATTGCTTTTATCAGTTTCAAGTTATTTCAGTGATGATTGAAGATTTTTTTTCCATTGCCAGCAGGAACCAACAATTTTGTCCATGTCTGTAAATACATTCTACTGTGGTAGCCAAGTTTATTTCATATATAATTTTGCATGCCAGTAGATGTAGTGTAGATGTTACAAATGCTGTTCTGTGTATAAATGAATCATTTCACATTCTGCAGTAAATATACTAAGAGGCTGATAATAATGGTTAAAACTTGGCTTCAACCTGCACATTACACTGAAGATGCATTGTGTAACTTTTTTGGTGGAGGTTACACAACTTGCTTGTCTCAATGGAGATATAGTACTACAGTATAAACATTAAACATACTTTTGGCCCTTCCACAGGATTTCCTGACCCTGCCTGACCTGTCGTCTTGTCAAACTGAGACCTTTGACTGAGACACAAAAGCCACTCAACTGCAACGGTTTGTTGCAAAAGTTGAGTGTCCCTCGGGATCAAAAATTATCTCTCTCTCTAAATTTCTTCTGTCTTTATGTATGGCATTCAACTTATCTGTCTTCATGTACATAAGATAGTGATGCCAAGCTACAGGTCAGATCTGTGGAGAGCTGACCCCACTCACAGCAAGAATGCATGATTTTCAAGGTATTTTTGTGGCATAAAACACCTGTACGTCAATAGAAAGGGGACAGAGCATCATTATTGTTGAACTTTACAGGTAAAATAAGAACATCTCCTTGGAAACAAGCAGGTGGTGCACCCTCCTGAAAAGTTACTTCTTGGTGCACCTTTAAAATGACTGATGTAAAAATGTACTCCCTCTGAAAATAGAACTTTCTGTATCAAAACAGTTAGTGTAAGTGGTGGACAAGTCTGCTCTAAATGAGTTCTAATAGTTTGTGGAGCTTTTAGGACTAATGTGTTGTACAGGTTTGTCCCTGTGGCGTCTCAGTGAAGCTCAACAGTGACCCCCTTAATTCTGGAAGTACATTTCCCATTCATTTATTCATTAGTTAATAAATGAACCTCTTAATATTCATATTTTTTTCCCTGAGCATACTTGGAAATAGGCAGGACTGTTGAGCTCCATAGACCCTTTAAAATGCTCTGTCATCAGGAGATAGTTTAGAAACATAAGTCCCACACACCGTAATCAGAGTCCTCTGCCACCCATTTCTGTGTGGGCCAGAAGTATGGAGTCTGCAGGGCAAAAGATACGAGTTATTCTTAAAGACAATTCTCCATGAAGGAAAACTACCCAAAAATGAATGTGTCTATGGGAGAGAGTACCGAGACCATTTGGATGTCTGTGGAGGGAGAGTACCTGGAAAAGAGGGTGTCTATGAGAAGGGTAGTGTGGCTGTTAATGGGGGGAGAGTACAAATAAAGTGAGGTGTCTTTGTGGCAAGAGTACCTGAGGGGTCTATGGGTGAAGAGCACCTGGAAATAAGGGTGTCTAAGGAGTTGGAAGTACCAGGAGAATGTGGGTGTCTCTGTGGTGGGGGAGTACCTGGAAAATGATGGTGCCTATTGGTGGTGAATGTAAGAGAATTTAAGTAATTTATCCTCCACGAACATCTCTCACTTTAACATTGACTCATACGAGCTACAGTAACAGGATCATCTTTCTTTGGCATACCACTGGCAAACCATTATCTAAACTGTGGCATTTTGCCATCGAACTGTCGTCTACTGGTCTTCCACTGGTCTTCGTCTCACCACAATAAAGCTCCTTCTTTGGAAGTTTGAACACTCACAACAAGGAGCTTGAACACTCACAACACTTTTCCAATTCCTGGAAAATGTGTGTCTCTGTGTGGGGAGAGTACCTGAAAAATGTAGGTGTCTGTATTTGGAGAGTAACTGAAAAATGTGGGTGTCTATTGGGCAAGAATACTGGGGAATGTGGCTGTATATGGGGGAGAGTACCCAGAGAATACACATGTATATGGGGGAGAGTACCCAGAGAACACAAATGTCTATGGGGGAGAGTACCCAGAGAACACACGTGTCTATGGGGGAGAGTACCCAGAGAACACAAATGTCTATGGGGGAGAGTACCCAGAGAACACACGTGTCTATGGGGGAGAGTACCCAGAGAACACACGTGTCTATGGGGGAGAGTACCCAGAGAACACACGTGTCTATCAGGGGAGAGTACCCAGAGAACACACATGTCTATCAGGGGAGAGTACCCAGAGAACATGACTGTCTATCAGGGGAGAGTACCTGGAAGCGGTAGAGGCTTGTGTCATTGCACAGGACCAGCTTCTTGTGGTTCTGGATGGGATAGATGTACCCATAGGCCACCAGCATGGTGCCCACCACATGTGCCTCTGAGTGGGAGTACATGGTCAGATTCAGTACAGAATAGCACAGACTGGTGTACTAATATACTAGTAGTACAGACTGGTGAATATACAGACTGGTGTACATACTAATACAGTACTGATGTATATACAGACTGGTGTACTGTATACTGTATATAGACTGGGGTATTGTACAGACTGGTGAGTAGTACAGACTGGAGTATTGTACAAATGTATTTCAAATGCACATCAGTCTGTATAATATATACACCAGTCTGTCTATAAAGCAGTGTGTACTGATGTATATACAGACTGGATCAGGAGGACAGTGCAGAGGACCCACCTTCTGTGCTGGTTTTCATCTTGTTCACAATCCAAGCCACAATGTCCTTCCCTGCACACACAGCCACAGAGTGTTAACGTTTTATATCTATATCTATATCTATATCTATATCTATATCTATATACACTACTCACAATAAGTTAGGGATATTGTTCTTTACATGAGTGCTTTTCCTATTTGGTCTGAATTTTAATGAAATAAGTAAAAGTTCCCTTTGATATTACTAAGAATGAATGAGAAGAAACACCATTTTCATTAGTTTAATATTTATTACCCCAAAATTTACACAATAAAAAGGATAGCCCCAAGTAACAAAAATGAACAATGTCAGTAGCGGGTGTTTCCACCTTTTGCCGCAATGTCAGCTTGACAGCGACGTCTCATGCTCCTCACAAGCCTCATGATGTTGTTCTGAGGCAATGTGTTCCACTCTTCCACCAGTGCTACATGCAGTTCCACCAGGTCACGTGGAGGTGGGCTACGATCATCCAGTCTCTGCTTCAGCTGGTCCCAGACGTGCTCTATGGGGTTCAGGTCAGGGGGCAGTGCTGGCCATACCATATGAGGCACTCCCACTTCCTGAAGTCGAGCTGTGACAATTCTGGCAAGATGTGGTGGAGCATTATTATCCATGAACAGAAAGCTGGGGGTGTCCTGGCGGAATTGGGGATGATGATGGGTTCAATGAAGTCTCTGAGGTAAGAACGTGCAGTGACTGAGCCATCTACAGTAACCACATCTGTTTTGCGCTGACTGGTGATGCCTGCCCAGACTGTTGCACCTCCTCCAACAAAGCGAACCCTGAGGACCATGTTGACCTCGGCGTATCGCTCACCTCACCTTCTCCAGCAACACTGACGATCATCATTTCTGTGCTAAATGACACAACACTCATCAGTGAACATTACGGTGGACCAGTGCTGCATTGTCCAGGTCACATGGTCTTGTGCCCACTACAGACATTCATGGTGGTGTCTTGGTGTCAGTGGAGTCACCTGCAACGGTCATCTGGCATTCAAACCAAAGCGGTGGAGTCAGTTTCAAATGGTTTGTCTGGAAACCCTAGTACCCCTCACATCTCAAAAATGAGCCTGCAGCTGTGTGGCAGTTGCATAACGATGTCTGAGTGCATAGGTCCTTAGGTACAGGTCATCGTTGTGGTCTGTCACTCATGAGGCTCCACTCCTGGGTCCGTCACGAACTCTGCCAGTAGTTCTGTGTCTTGATGCAAGTCTGCTGATGACACTTTGAGACACACCAAGTTCACGAGCAAAATTTGACTGCCTGCCACTGACCCTGAAGGAGCGGTATGGCTAGGTGGCGCTACTCGTCTGTTAAGTGACGTCGTGTGTTCATAGCCGTTTGAATTGTGAACTTGGAATGTCTTGACAATACCAGCTTTTTATACCTACAGAATGTTGAAATTTATGCCACATTAAAAAGGGTTTTGGATCCAATATTTAAGGCACACTGTACACAGTGAGACCATTACATGGAAAACACAAAATGAGGTTTGTCTATCACCCCAATACAATTGCCTCCCTATCCCAAAAGTTTCTGAAGTGAAACAAACACCGTATATATGACATTCAATGGCTCTCTCTCAATATCCCTAACTTATTGTGAGTAGTGTATATATATATATATATATATATATATATATATATATATATATATATATATATATATATATATATATATATATATATATATATATATATGAGCAAGTACCAATACTAGAAAAGTCCCATTCACAGGACAGAAATGAAGCTTTCCTGAATAGCTTTAGAATGACGTTGAGCTGGACCACACAGATATAAGGACACATTTAGGCAATGACATTTAGTGTTGTCACATTCTATGGTCTATATAATGCTAATGCATGAGAGCTTTTCCACACACTCAGAGTCACTTTACAATTTCATGCATTGCTCATTTATTTCATACCCAGTACTGATAAGTTACTATTGTATCCACAGCTTCCCTGGGGCAGACTCATGGAAGCAAAGCTGCCAATCTGCACCATCATTGTGATATTGGAATCCATCAGATTTCCTGTTAGTATCATGACAACAGTAATAGGAGTAGAAGAAGTGGTAGATCACTTTTAATGTATTCTTGTCAAGATAAATAGATTGCATCATGAATTGTTTGGTAAAGGAAGTCTGGGAGTCCCTGCTTAGACTGCTGCCCCCGCGATCTCGCCCCGGATAAGCGGAAGAAAATGGATGGATGGATTGTTTGGTAAAAGGTCCTAATTAAGAACAATTTTGAGACTGCAAAATATAATCTATCCATTTTACAAAATACACAATTCCTATTAGAGGTTCCTGACAGGGTCATCTCTTTTCATTCAATCAGAATATTCTGACTAATAATCATGGGAAACAACACTTGATTCTCTGTCCTGGTACTTTTTCAAAAGTCAAAAATAAACACATGCAGAGATGTGAGAGCAATACAGACGCAACCACATTACACTATCCCATTGTCATGGTGCAATATCACAAAAAGCACTGAGTGGGCAGGGCTAAAAGGTCAACTGACTCATGGTTTGAGATAAGGTGCAAACCCTTTAAAATATGATACATATGCACATATGCAGATGCACTATGTAACTTTTCCAGTGGGGGTTCTGCCAACATGGGAATGATAATGCCTGGAATGCTCCACAGTATGGTCCACAGAGCTGAGCCGTAACTTGGCCTGGTGGCATTTTGGTCTTCAGCTTCTATTTTTTGAGACAAGTTTAATGCAATAGTGTGGGACATTCCAAGAAAGAGAATATCTTTTCATGCAGTGAAAAGGGTTAAAAGATCTGAAAAACTGATTTTGCAGAATAAGTCTGCTTTAAAGGCTTGACAAAAGTCGACCAACTGGAAAATGAGAGATCATGCCGTTATATCTAATTAAAAAGTAAACTAAAATAAAAATGTGTAATTGTGGTAACTGTGTGACTCTGTTTTTAAATGTGTAATATCCTGTCTTATTTTTCTATGACTGTTCTACCTGCAGCTTCACTCTGTCACAGTGCTTATGCTTGGAGCTGCTGACCTTTGACCTTTGACAGACTTTAAGCAACGTTAATCCTATTGGTGTGTTCTGTTTTTGTCCTTCAGCTTAAAGAGTGGCCTCACTGTACAGCACAGACTGGGACGTAAACCTGCTCTGTGATGTGATTTAAGACACAGTTATGATGAATTAAGGTGAATTATGATGCACACTGACATAATGTGGAGTTTGATCTAAGATGTTTTTTTGTGATAGACTTAAACTATTTCTGTATTTTATAAAATGTTTATTATGTAAATGTCTAAACTGTTGTTTCTTGTTGTAGAGTGGGCTGAACTCACTGGGTGACCTCACTTTGGGACCTCCCATTCATTGAAGGGGTATATAGGCACCTGGGCTGGCAACCATTTTGTGTGCTGTGGTCCAAGACAAGAAAAATATCCGATGAAGGCTTTTTTTGCCGAAACGTTATTTTGTTAATAAAAAAGTATTTGGACATCGGCCAACCGAGTGTGCTATGCATTTTTTCACCCTGGTCTGGCTGCTCCTTGCATTTGCACCACTGCAAGAATCTTGGTGTGCATTTTCTGTTTCTTTTGGGCACACTGACATATCAACAGCTAAATTACAGCAAGAATTTCATGCATTTCAGTTTGTAGAGGTTTGAACTACAGGGTTAGCAGCTTTTACACAGAATAAGACCCCATGGAGACACAGGGAGGCATTTAGACACAAAGAGACATCTAGTCATATTCAATTTATTGAGGATGCCATACTGCCTTGGGCCTGGTTAGAACCTGGACGGGACACTGCTGTTAATCTATTGCAAACTGTTGTGTCCTTAGGCAAGACACTTTTGTTGATGGCATAGATTGGGAGCCTCACTTTAATCACTCCAGGGCAGAAGTAGTTTATACAGTGATTTGTTTTTTTTAAATTATTATTATTACTGTGGGGGCCCTGCAAACTTTTCAGCCCTGTGTCTTCTGTGTCTCTATGTCCCTGTGTCCCCTGCTGTAGTAGAGGAGCCCTCTCACCTGTGAGTACGTATGGGATGCTAGTGACGTTCAGTTTCTGCTCAGAACCTTTCACTCCACTCTTGGGATCCTGCATCTCCACCATCAGGGCCTCCATCTGAAATAAGTCATACATTCATACATTAAAAAACAAACACACTCATAATGAGAGAGAGTTTAGTTTAGACAGTATTCCTTTGATTGATTCACCAAAGTTTTTGTCCTTAACATTATGAAATATTGCTAATACTGATGTCCAATATCCTCTGAACTACTACTACTATTTTTTCTTCTTTTAATTCTATACTGAAAATCATTGTAAGTACTCCCTGGTAAGTGCTCTTGTATCCCCAGGAGTCCCCATATCCTTGGTTGAGAAGCCACAAATTTCATAAACATTTGAGAAATTGGGAAAACCAGGAAACATGTTTTGTATGATATGATAATATTTGCAATATGATGTATACAGTTCTAAACGTCCGTCTTAGTGAACAGTGGAATGTTTGTACTCATGAGTCTTAATCACTGTTCTGGTCCTGGTTCAGTTGTCCTCTCAGTACATAGTCTATGTGTTCTATGATTTATTTAAGTGCAGATCACAGTTTTATCTGTAAGAGGAGAGATGAGTGACTGAACACAGGGCTCTAACAAGCTTATAGAGGAATTATGGTGATCTGTGAAAGACTCTGGCCATTTCCACATAAGTAAGGAGTAACCGTGTGAACAGTAACAGTGAGTAACTCCTCTGGCCACAAATTTATGAGGACCATCTCCACATACGTATGAAGACCATCTCCACATACGTATGAAGACCATCTCCACATACGTATGAAGACCATCTCCACATACGTATGAGGACCATCTCCACATACGTATGAAGACCATCTCCACATACGTATGAGGACCATCTCCACATACGTATGAGGACCATCTCCACATACGTATGAAGGACCATCTCCACATACGTATGAAGACCATCTCCACATACGTATGAGGACCATCTCCACATACGTATGAAGACCATCTCCACATACGTATGAGGACCATCTCCACATACGTATGAAGACCATCTCCACATACGTATGAGGACCATCTCCACATACGTATGAGGACCATCTCCACATACGTATGAAGACCATCTCCACATACGTATGAGACCATCTCCACATACGTATGAAGACCATCTCCACATACGTATGAGGACCATCTCCACATACGTATGAAGACCATCTCCACATACGTATGAAGACCATCTCCACATACGTATGAAGACCATCTCCACATACGTACACGTTGTTATTTCTTTCAAGTTGCTTTAGCGAATTGTCTCCTTAGAACTGTTTGCATTCACAACATTGACTTAGATTTTCTGAGAAAATAGGATGTGGTGTAATATACTGCACACATCAACAAAGACTGACAGAAAAGTTTTTAAATGGGTAATGCTAGCTGGCCTGTGACTGTAATGCTATTTCAGGCGTGTTTTATGGTCAGATTGTGTTAAAACAAAGCACATATTTAAGTCTAACTTGAAAAACAGAGCTTCAGACAGAGCAGTGTCTACAGTTAGCGTCACACTCCTAGGGAATGTGTGAACACTGCGATCAGTAGCTGCAAAGTACCATTAGGTGGTTTTCATATTCTGAAATGTGATGATGTCACAATCCCAGTTGAAGGGCAGGACACTGGGTTCATGGATTTCAGCTTCTTTTTTATGGTGCCATTTTGAGACAGTTGACCTTTAAAAAGATCAAATATTTGTATTATTCTGTACCCCACAGAATGATTACACTGTCAGACTGGACTGGCCTTCTCTACAGAAAGGGACAGAGCAGGCTAAACTTTCTCAGATGGATGAAGTCCTTTAACATCTGCCAGAAACTCCTCCTGATGTTCTACACAATACAAGTCAACATACAAGCAGTGTTCTCCAGATAATAAACACAGGTTCAGTACTCAGAAAACCTTGATATTTAATACTTATTTGTATACTACAATGTTAATGAAGAACACTCTTTCTCTAGACAATAGAATTTGATTTTTAACATTAAATGGTTTTCTATTCCCATGTGTCCTTATATGTGTGGAATGGTCAGTGGTGCAGTAGGTTCACATTGGTCCATGTGTGTATTCTAGTCTATGTGCTCTGACACTTGTTCTGATACAGCTCAACATCACTTGAGACATTCAGAAAAGATTAATTTCTGTCCTGTGACTTTTTTTTAAGATTGATACCAACTCAAATTAGTGTCTAGTTTCAATACTAGTTTTAGTATCTGATTTTTGATACTTTTGACAAGCCTATATACTAGTAAAGCAGGTTTTGGACAAACTTATATAGCTGGACACTCACCTTCTTGAGGCAGTGGATGCGGGGCCGGTAGTGCTGGTCACGCTGGGGCCGTGCGGTGCGGATGGTCATGGCTGCTGAATGGGACTCGCTGCAAGGACAGTCACCGGTCAAAACTACAGTCCAGAGTATGAGTGCGATGGGAGCAGGAGGAGAGAGTGGTGCACAGGTGGACTCACTGCCCTGCTTTGAGAGGATTGTGAGCTCAGGATATCCACTTAACAGATGGTTCCTGTAATACTAGGAGTGGTCAGCAGAGGGCAATGTCACACCCCCTCCATTCTTCAGCAGAGAACCATGGATGCCAGATCTGGAGAATAAGAGACTCATAAATATATGATCGTTTTTTCTGATAAAGTTCCTGTATTACCCAAAATTGGCTTGTGAGCTTTTAGTCATGTTATAATGTTGTTCCTCATCAAAAACATCACTAGAGGTTAGTTCAGTAGACATTGGAAATTCCAAGGCTAATATGATCCAAATGATTCTGGTGAAGATGTTTAAAAACACAGTGGAGCACTTCCTTATAACATACACACCAGAAACAACATCAGAAATTTGAGTAATATAGGCCCTTTAACTGTCAAAAGGAAGTCATAAAAATGCAAGTGATTATATTTGGTCCATGGCCATTTGATTGTCAAAAAAAACGAACAATCATTCAACTCATTTCATTTCAAAGGAAATCAAACAAAACAATTAATACAATAAATTTAAAAATAAACACACACACATTTTAATGAAATTCTATTTCATTTTGAATGTGTGTTTTTAAATCCTTGGTGCTGAGGGGGCCTGAGGGGCACTGTCTGTTGTGCTTGCTGAGGGGTAGAGTCCAGGGAGGCCCTAACCACCGGTCTGGAACCCTGAACCGGACCACCAGGTCTCACAGGAAAACTGTATATATTTTTAAAAAGGAATTGTACTTATTTTTTATAGTCTGTCACCATATCTATATGCGTGTCCTCTGAAAAAAAGTGCAAATTAACCTAATAAACAGCAAACAGGACCATTTAGATCACAACAACAACAACAAAACTATTGCTTTAGAGTTTTATGCATTTTGCACTGTTCTTATTGGCTTCACCCCCCTACACCAATCCTTGAGAAAAGATTTATGTTTATTATTGGTACTTATGAGGAAAATGTTTGGGTACTGCTGGTCTGTGGAACTGAGTGGTGCTGTTCACAGTACTGACGGGTGCTGTTCACAGTACTGAGTGGTGCTGTTCACAGAACTGAGTGGTGCTGTTCACAGTACTGAGTGGTGCTGTCCATAGTGCTAAGACAGGCCTGACCAGACCACTGAATGCTAAAGTCCTGATTTATTTATTTTTACTTATGACTTAGTTTGGTGGGATAGTAATCAAAACTACTGTGCAATTAAGACAAGTTTTGGCCTTAGTTAACATCATGTACCTGTACATATGTCGTATCTGTGAACTGGTAGTCTAACATGTCACTGGCACTTAAAAGACAGCCTGAAGTGTCCACATATATTATTAACTTTCATATTTGCATTTTATTACATATTCCTTGTAAAGTTCTTAGGACTAGGTTGTCATATGTAATTATTACTTTGTATGTGAGATATTACTGTAGTGTTGTTTATTTGTATTTGTGCCCCAAATGATCCAAATAGGAAACTAAACGTATTTTCTAGTACAAACTAAAAGGCCTGGACCTAACTTTAACTTTTTTAATGTACTTGAGAAAATGTTCCTCAGTATTTTGTATAAGCGGCTTTTCAGATCAAAATATGTTTGCTGTGTAGTGTCAGAAGAATTATTTTTTCCAATAATCAGGAAGTGCACATTATCATGCATTACCATGCAAACCTATTAAAGTGAATTAGTTCTGTTTTTTTAAGCTTTTAAGAGTAATAAATAAGTACAGCGCCTTAAATAAAATGTGTAATCTCATATGAACTTCAAACTATTTCAAATACCATAAACACACACAGTAATGACAACATTTTATTATAATAAATACAACCTAGTCCAGACCAGAATTGTGTACAAATCACAGAACATTTAAAGGTTCAATGTTGAGTGGTAACATTCAAGTGTGAGGAAAGGCTGTGTTCAGAGTGCATCCGAGAACAGAGTTGACAGCTCACTTGTGCTCTGTGACGACCCCTACTGGTCTCTTGCCTGTCATTACATCCTCATATCAGCTCCAGAGCAAGGTTTTGTCAGGAATACTTTTATACATCACATCTGAGGAGTTCCAAGGGTGGTCAGTCTAACTTTCATTAGACACTGGATTGAGAGTTTTGGTCATATCTCAGTTTAACACAGAACTAAGTAACATTTTTACTTTATTAAACATCTTTGTAAGTCCCTATCATTGTTAAATGTATATTTAAAGCACCCATCATATCCACCTGCTGTCTCTGTGTCTTCTTTTTTGTCAACTTATGTGTTTGTATGTGATTATTCTGCATCTCTATCATTGAAAGGCAAAAGGAAAAATACAATTTGTTTATTGGACAGAAGTTGATTTGGTTGAATACGTTTCACAGTTTATCCAAGCTGCTTCTTCAGTTCTGGTCAGATGCTGGTGGACACTTCCTTATATCTGCAGGGAGGAGCTAACTACAATGAAACTATCTTGAAACTAACACACCTACTTGTTTACAGTTTCTGTTGCTGTGGGGTCTAATTAGCAAAATCATTCAAGGCCATTATGGGTGTTTTCACATCTCTGGGCCTGCCCTGGCTATCCCTATTGTTTTCTTTCTTTGTTTTGATTTCAGTTTGAAGTTGGAGTTGTAAATAGGAGAATGTGGTCTACTCCAATTCAGTGTAGCAAAGACTGCAGTGAACACTACATTGGAGAAACAAAACAGCCACTTCACAAGAGGATGCAACAATACAGAGAAGAGAGCAACACTGGACCTCAGTCTGCTGTACATCTCCATCTAAAAACCACAGGCCACTCTTCTGAGGACAGTGATGTACAGATCTTAGCCAGAGAAAAGTATTGGTTTGAGATGGGAGTTAAAGAGGCTATTTTTGTTAAGAAACACAATCCATCCTTGAACAGAAATGGAGGACTCAACTCCAAGCTCAAACCTAAATCAAAACAAACAAGAGAAAAATAGGAATAGCCAGGTCACGTCCAGAGGTGTGAAAGCAACCATTTTGGGCCCCAGTGATTATGTTAATAAGACCCCACACTCAGTGCAGATGAATAGGCCAAGCTAACAAACAGAAACTGTCAACAAGTAGGTGTGTTAACTTCAGAGTAGTTTCAGTGTAGTTAGCTCCTCCCTGCAGGCAGCTTTAAGGCACTGTCCACCAGCGTCTGACCAGAACTGAAGAAGCAGCTTCATTGAGCTGAGAAACGTATTCAACCAAAATAAACTTTTGTCCAGTTGACAAATTTTATTTCTCCTTTTGCCATGGATTCTACCTGGACAACAGGAATTTTACACACATCTATCAATGAAAGTTACTTACTTCTGCTTTTCTTTTCTCTTGTTTGGGTTGACAGTTTTTTTGGCTCTGGTAAAACCTCATCACACTTTCAAGTCCTGTTCCAATGTTCTCGTACTCCATGTAGCTAGCATGTGGCTAATTCACAAAGGACACATCAACCAGAACACTCCACTTACTACTCTGCTGATTTTAAGACTTATTGTTAGCAAAGTGAGGACTGTCACACTTGTGTTATAATATAAGTATGCAGTCTATGGGTGTACAGGCTGGTATGAGGTGAACGAGGTACATGTGTCTATCCACTCCATCTGAAGCCCCAAACTGCCTCCCTTGGCCAGAGGAGGTGCTAGAGACATAAAGCGGATTCAAGATTCTGCAAGGTCCAAACCAGGGCTGTTCAAAGCTGGTTGTTTGGTCAGTCACTTTAGTCACTGCATTACTCATTGAGGTGAACTGTACAGAGTAATTCAGTGTGATGCTGCTTTGTAGAGGCATCATTTGCACTGTTAACCAATCAGAGCATTGGGAGGAGAAGGTTGTTGTTCAGCTTCTGGAAATTCATGTAGAGTGTACTTGTTAATAGTACAATATTTAAATAAAACTTCATCGTAGATCTAATTTGGTCTTGGCAATCTGCAATATTATTTTATTTAAGGCTCCTTAAAGGTCCTACATTAGGCAAATTAACTCTTGTGAGCCTCAAACATATTAGAATGTTGTTACCTCCTCAAAAACATACCTTGAGTTGTGTTTTGTGTTTTCAGCTTTAGAGAAAAACACAGTCTAAATATGAATGATCTTCTGTTAACATGTGTGAATGAAACAAAACACAACTTCAGGAATGTTTTTGACAATTAAGTAACATTAGAAGTAGGGATGGGCATGATTAATCGATTAATCGATAATTGATCATTAAGAATTTCATCGATTACGTAAATTTTAATCGACAAATCGAATGTAGGTTGTGTGTAGTGTGACCAAACAGGGGTCCGTACTTGTGTCTCTGCATCAGAAGGAGCGAGAAACAAACAGTCAGTCAGTCTGCAGCGTGCCGAAGCACAAATGTGTATTTAACGATGATTTGTACAAGAAATTCCACACTTTCCACTGCGTTCGGGACAAGTGTGAGTCCATGTGCACAGTGTATAAAGCAGCACATATGTTTCGATGTCCAGTGGGAAAAAGTTTTACCAGGTGAGAGTCGCGCAATGTCGATGACGAGGCCCCGCCTCCCTCCCCCGTCTCCCTCCCCCCGTACGGTGTCCTGGTTTTGACAAACGCAAATCTGGTCACACTAACCTGTATTCACCTGAGTCATGTCTTTTAATCCGACAGAAATTGAACCACATCAGTGACACAAGAGCTGTATTTTTATCTTCACTTAGTTTATGCAAATTAGCGATGCGGTTTTAAGTTTTGTTTCTGTGAGAGTTGCACAAAACTGAATTAAACACAATATAATCTAAAACGGGCTGATGTGGCTCTAGAGTCGTTACGGTTTATATGTCGTAAAGTTGAATTTATTTATGCAGATTAGTAATGCAGATAGTAATAATAATGATGATCATTTTAATATAAAAACGTTAATGATTAATCGATAATCGATCGTTAATTCTTCTGACGATCGATTAAGAAAATTTCATCGAATGCCCATCCCTAATTAGAAGACACCATAATATGGGCCCTTTAAGGCATAAAACTAATGGTTTGATCATCCCTGGTTTGAACCAAGGCCCCTGGATAAGAGAGTCATGCATTGATCTATAAAGCTTCTGAAGTCTGTCTATTTTCAAGTCAAACCAAAAGGCCTCAACCACCAAAGGGTTGCACTGTGAAACACAAGTGTGCATGTGTGTTTGGTGTCATCTCCAGCGTGGTGAGGTGTACAGTCCTGAGATGTTCAAACCTGCTCCATCTGCTACTCCACCGCACCAGACCATGGCACACTGCACTGTGCTCATTGGTATTGCTATGTACACACTTTGAAGTCCAGTGTAGTTGGTGCTCAGAAATCACAGGTGGGTGCACAGAGGGCACAGGTTTTCATTGGAAGAGTCAGATATAATTGAGCTCCTTGAGGCTCTGACCCTGAGAGCAGTGGACTTCAAATAGCAGCAACACTCTTCTCAGGGGTTGTCTTCAAGGGGCAGGTCCACATCCAGGAAATCCAGCTTTTCACTGTCCTTGTCAGTCTGCTCCTCAGGCTCTCCAGAACATCTGCAGGACTTGATTGGCCCCACTAAAGCCAGGCATATGGCGCCCAGAGCCATGCCCACAGCGCAGAGAGCAAAGGCAGCACCGTAGTTCTGCATCACATCCACCAGTAGCCCTGCAACACAACAACATGACTGTGAAGGAAGCAAGCAATGCAAACATCTGGATCTGAACACAACACACACAGTCAGTTAAGGCTGCAAGATATGAGAAGAAGATGCGATATTCCAATACTATGTTTTGTATTGTCATAATAATATTATTATTTGAATTTACATTTTGACATAGTAAGTTCCGTCAAATGAAAAACAAAAAATGCATCACTTCATTTACTAGTCAAACTGGGTCAAAATAAAAACTTAACAAAGACAAAACCAAGACCAACTCAGATCTAATGTCAGGACTTACTAACTTTGTGTTGCCAATATTGATACTTTGCAGCTGATGTCATCAACATTCCCTGGGATTATGATTCTGGCTTTAAGCACTACTCTGTCTGGAAATGTTACTCAAGCTAGACTTTAATCTGAGATTTATTTGAACACAATCTGACCATAAAGTACTGATTTAACTAGAACAACTGCAACATGATTTGTGCAGTTGATCAAGTCCCTCTCAAATAACTTTTCAAGCTAGCTAGCATTAGCCAACTGTTTTTCAGTTCACCTTTTTCTTGAAAATCCAACTCTTAAACAGGAACCATGAACATGTATTGAGCACGGGCTTCTGAAAATGTGTAATTTAAATCCTTTTTGTATTTTTTCATCTATTCATCTTACAACTGTTTTGGCAGTGTTTGCTATTGTGTGTCTTGTGTTTCCATGGAAACTGGTGAACATTCCTCCATAGATATACATGTAGAACACCCCAAGTGTGATGTTGCAGCAAAGTATCAATATGTATTTTCTTGCAATAACAATTATTGTGATGTGGATATTTTGGAGATGCAGCTTTACAGTCTTGTAGTGTGATGAGTACAGGGTTGTACCTCCCAGTGGTGGACCGGCCAGCCCAGCAAAGCTCTGGATGCAGATGTATACACCCACTGCTGAGGCCATCCTCTCCACGCCCACCACATCCTCCTCCGCCAGCAGTGGGATGTGTGTGGAACCCACAGTTCCCATAAAGTACCCATAGATGGCGCAGCAGATCACCAGTGCCCAGAAGCCTGAGGCCAATGTGAAGGCCCCCAGCACCAGGCACATGGCCAGCACACAGGCCAGCAGAACCAGCGTCTTCTTGAAGGGCGCCCTGGTGAGGATGAGTCCGATGGTGAGGCGGCCCACTATCTCTGCCACAGCCATCACAGACAGCATGTAGGAGGCCATGTGTGGCTCCACCCCCCGGCTCTTACTCAGCTCGATCACATAAAGCTGTGGAGCAAAGAAGCCTGCCGTGGCAAACAGTCCGAACAGAGAGTAGCAGATGAAGGCCCCATCCCTCAGCACAGAGAAGTCCAACAGCTTGGCCCTGGGCTGTGTCTTAGTCTGTTTCCCCAGCTCTGCTCTAGCCTGCTCCTTCAGCTCTCCCTCTGAGGAGCTCAGGGAGGTCACCCCAGAGTCATCAGAACACTGGGACGTCGAGGAGCCAATGGAGGTACGAGTCTGTTCATTCTCTAGCTCAAATAAGACCTCCAGCTTCTTTTCGCACAGGGCTTCCTCCTTGTCCGGCTCAGGCTGAATGCTGATTGGACAAAGGAGAAAACCGCAGCCAATCACACATGCCTGAATGGTCCCAATGAGCACCATGCAGTGTCGCCAACCAATATTCTCCTTGAGTATTGTAAAGGCTAGGAAGAAAGAAAAGATAGTAGACTTTTATTTCAAATGCACCAGCAGTGCAGGCTTAGAGCCAGAATCACCATGGATGGTACCAGTGCATACCAGGGGCAAAGGTAAACATGGCAAAGGACTCTCCGGAGGAAGCCAGAGACGTGACCAGAGCACGGCGCTTGGAGAAGTACTGTGCCAGCAGAGTGACTGTAGGCAGGAAGGACAGACTGTAGCCCAAACCTGTGGAGGAGGACCAGAGAGGACACAAGTTTAACCCAGACATGTGTAGAGAGAGAGGATGGTGTTGGTTTAAGTGCTGCTGAGAGCGATTCAGCTTCATCTAGTCTAATTCAGAACGGTGTCCCCTATTTCTGTAACTGCTGCAGACTCATCATTTTGGTCTTGAAATGTCTGTCCAATGTCTGGTCCATTCCACATGATCCTGGTGTTTTTATGTCACAATTTTGTCCATAAATAAAATATATAAACATTAATAACAGACCAATCAGCTGCTCCTATCTCCAGCTGGCTCTGGCTAAGGTTAGAAACAGGTTGATTGACAGACTCATTGTTAAGTGCCCAGCCCGTCAAAGCAGCAGTGCAGACGAGAAGGAGCAAGTATCTTCATCAACCTCCCTCCTGATTGGCTCTTTGGTTGCTATGATACCACAGTTGCAATTTCAAATGTGTGTCTAAATAATTGCCCTTGGGATTAATGAAGTTTGTCAAAGATCTTAGCTCCAAATCTGGCCCTGCTCTAACTGCTAGACTCAACTAGCTTCATTTGGCTGGAGCTATGGTTGGCGTCACATTTTCTTAGTCTTTCTACAGTGTATGGTAGAGGCATGCCTGTGATGATCCCGATGGTCAGGTACATGTCGTGAATGGAGTTGATGAAGCCAGAGGTGATGGTGCCCAGGCTCATGAGGAATCCGCCCATCATCACCACGGGCCGGTGACCCAAACAGGTGCTCAGCAGAGTGGCCAGAGGTGCTGCAACACACCCACTATTAGCAATGCACACAGGCCACCAGAGCCACACAGCAGGAGCAAAAATAACTGCTACTTCAATACATGAAGGACCTGTACCTGTTTCCCACAGATCTGAGCAAAATATCTTGTCCCGCGCACACACACACACACACACACACACACGCACACACGCACACACACACGCACACACACACACACACACACACACACACACACACACACACACACGCACACACACACACGACACACACACACACACACACACACACACACGCACACACACGCACACACACACTATAATATAATATAATATAATATAAAATTATTGATAAGTGCTTACAAACTAATTGCAGTGAATAAATAGGAATATCAGAAAGCATAAGTGAGTGAGGAAGAACCACATATAGTAACAATAAATAAATAGTTTTATTATTTAGTAAGTGGTAAGTGCGTGTTAGCCTTACTCTATGGTCTTAGAAAGTGCTTCTAAAGTTATCATGGTGAATAATTCAAATGCTCAGAATACATGAGGTAAGTGACGGAAGAACTTCAGACCACTGCAAACCCTTGAATATGAAACACCTCTGTTTTTCACGTTTTAAGGCAGCAAAAACATTTATCCTCCTTCCATAACAAAGCTGCATCCCACCTGTGAAGGAGAACATGAAGATACAGATGGAGATGGCCCAGGACACTCGGCTGTTGCTCTCCCCAAACTCCAGCATGAGGTCCTGCAGGAACACGCCCAGTGTCTTGAGGGTCCCATAGGTGCAAACCTCCACCACAAAGAAGGCCAGAGCCACAGCCCAGCCCCACCCGCCCTCCGGCACCTCGCTGTAGACTCGGGTCCCCAGGCAGCCCTCCATTGCAGCACAGAGGAGGAGGGACTATGGGAGACAACAGGGACATGAGTACAGGTGCTAGGAAGGCAGAGGGTTAATGTAGAACGCCCTCTAGTGGTGCTGAGTATTTAATGCATACTTAAGTGAAAGCACACTGCAGTTTTAAAGACATTATATGTAGTGTAGGGAGTCTGTGCTCTTATAATGCTCACACTGTATGGACAGGACATGCCTCATGTTAAAGCTCAGAATCTCCAGTATTCAGTGGCTGCAGGTGCTGGGGTTTATAGTCCCACATCCCAGAGAGTCCTTTTAGGTTTAAGCCAACTAGATTTCAGCTTTGAAACTGGCAACCCAAACGAGAGACTAATTTCTGATTGGACAATCATCTTGGGAACCAAAACACCAAATTAAGTTAGTTAGCCATAATCAATGTGCATACAAAACGTCATAGTTCTTAGCAGATGTCACTAGGCAATTACTGTTAAAGCAAGAGATGCTTTACGAAGGTGAACTTCTGTTCCCCTCGTGACAACAGCAGGTGACACAGAGGGAGATGGACTAAATACCCACACATGTGTGAAACACAACCCTTAATATGTTTTGATGAGGAATTTCAAAAACATATCACACTCTCAGTTATCTAATAGAGCATGTTTTGATATCTGCAACCTGAGAGTGCGACGCTGTGTTTCAAACATGAGTGCATGTGTGTGTATGGCAAGCCATTTTAACATTTTAAACCCTAAACTGGATATGTATTGCAGATATCTCTGACTTCAGGTTCAAGATATATTTAATTCACTTCATTTGAAGATATCTACGTGCTCCATTTCAGATATCTTAAATGAAGTTTTCACTAGACAAAATGACATAGAAGATATCTCTAACTGGAATTACAACTAGTCAGAATGATGTTGTATCTCAAACTGTCGTAGATTTCTCTGATCAAGTTTTAGATATGTTGTAATGAATTTTGATTAGAGATATCTGAAATTGGAGATATCCGTAAATGTCATTCTGCCTAATCAAAATATTATTATAGATATCTTGAATTGGAGTTTTGGCGAGGCGAAATGATGTTGCAGAGATCTATATGCAAATGATCCACTTCAGGCAGGAGCGGAGCTGTTAACGGAAAGTTAATTTATCAGTAAGATTGCCAATAGGGTCTTTTTGTTAATGGACTCTAGTGAAACGTTCACTGAAAATGACATTAAAAACAAAAGCAAATTTTAACACAGACAGTTGTTAAGCTTTAGAGACAAATGGCTTTTTGGACAAATCGTGCACTGCTTGTAGTCTGAGTCAACGTGGTGCTTTCTGTCATGATGTCATAATGACGTCTGAGATATCTTTAACTTTCAATGTGCCTAGTCAAAACTGAATAACAGATACCTGCAGTTTTCATTTATGATGTGTGACGAGTTGAATGTTGTTTTAAATGATGTAATTGCAGTTATCTGTAATTCTGCTGAGTCAAAACTGAATTGCAGATATCTCTATCTGTCCTTTCGTCTAGTCAAAATTAAGTTGCAGATCTCTCAAATGGCAATTCTCAGAAATTATGACTATGACTAACAATTAAGACGTTGTTAATATCTACAAGGTTAATTCCAGATAGTCAAATTTAGCGTTTAAACAGTTTGCCATAGTGTGTGTTACTCTGTCTCCTGACATGATCTGATGATGAAACTATTGAATTTAATATGGTTTAAACTTCTTTTGTTCTATTGTGCGTGCCCGCTCTGTATTTGTACTGCGAACACCCACTTCTCTTTTTTCACGCACACGCACACACACACACACACATATATATATATACATACATACATATATACATGTTTGGTCATTGTGAAAATATACGCCGCGGGCCTTCTCTGAGTGAAGTATGTAGACTACTGCAGTGCAGCGGACTTCAGAGACCTGATGTCATACCGGGCTTCTGTTGCTCTCCTCGGTCATGATCAGTGTTATTTAGGCACAGCAGTGGCAGCAGCAGAGACAAAGTGAGCACAATGACGTCGGCTAAATACTGTGAGAAACAAGCCGGTACAGCTGATGTGTGAGGAAGGCACGGAGCATCCCACCCCGGGACTGTCCTCCTCCAGCAGAGCGGAGGAGCACGTCTGCGCTCTCATACACTCACCTCGGAGCAACTACACGTGTAGACGCGGGTCCGTGTCGTAGGCTACAACCCCAGATGTTAGACCATCCTGTCCTGTATGACCGGCCCGTGTGCCCGCAGCCTCCTGCTCCGCGCTCTGCGCCTCTTCTACGGGCTGCTTATGGCTCTGTCTCCTTTGCTGTTTGGCCTGTTTTGGCAGCTCTTTACCGGCTTGAGCCGGTATTCAGGCGTGCCCGTACTGTGGACGCGCACGCCTGCTATCCAGGAAGCTGACGCACACAGAGACACGCATGTCTCGTGCGCACGTGCTACGCTCTTTCATCACCGGTAATGATCGAGCAAACTGCGCTGTGGTCCGTAACTACATGCAAATTATGATTGTAGCTATTAGACTACAGTAACGTATAAGCAGCCACTCAGCCGCTCGGTTACCGGGCTACACTGTGTCTGACTGCATCGTTTTGAAACATCTGACACTAACCTGTAACTCCAGCTGTGTTACGTGTGTATTTTACGTGTGTTATACGCGTGTATTATACGTGTGTGTTATACGTGTGTATTATACGTGTGTATTATATGTGTGTATTATACGTGTGTATTATACGTGTGTGTTATACGTGTGTATTATACGTGTGTATTATACGTGTGTATTATACGTGTGTATTATACGTGTGTATTATACGCGTGTGTTATACGCGTGTGTTATACGTGTGTGTTATACGCGTGTATTATACGCGTGTGTTATACGCGTGTATGTTATACGCGTGTGTTATACGCGTGTGTATTATACGCGTGTGTTATACGCGTGTATTATACGCGTGTCTTATACGAGTGTGTTACACGTGTGTGTTATACGCGTGTATTATACGCGTGTGTTATACGCGTGTGTTATACGCGTGTGTTATACGCGTGTATTATACGCGTGTGTTATACGCGTGTGTTATACGTGTGTGTTATACGCGTGTGTTATACGCGTGTCTTATACGCGTGTGTTATACGCGTGTATTATACGTGTGTATTATACGTGTGTGTTATACGTGTGTGTTATACGTGTGTGTTGTACGTGTGTATTATATGTGTGTATTATATGTGTGTATTATATGTGTGTATTATACGTGTGTGTGTGTATTATACGTGTGTGTTATACGTGTGTATTATACGTGTGTATTATACGTGTGTATTATACGTGTGTATTATACGTGTGTGTTATACGCGTGTGTTATACGTGTGTGTTATACGTGTGTGTTGTACGTGTGTATTATATGTGTGTATTATATGTGTGTGTTATATGTGTGTATTATACGTGTGTGTTATACGTGTGTATTATACGTGTGTATTATACGTGTCCCAGAGTGAGAGGAGGTTTGTAATGTAAATGTAATGGTTTGATCTGAGCTGTACAGACTCCAGAGGGACACTTCTCTTACACCTCGGGCCCTGGTGCACAGGTCTGTGTAAGAAGACTGTGTGGGGCTGCTACAGTCACAAACTACTGAACTGTACAGTTATCTAGGAAACCCAACTTGTCACATATCCCTTCCCAGACACAGAGCGCAGTCTGACTCCTGACTTGTTGATGAAGTACAAACATAAACATAACAGTGCGTTATGTGCCGCGGTGTTCGGCTCTGCGCTGCAACAGCTCCCTGTTTAATGCTACATTACAGAGCCGTAGCCATCCGGGTACTCTGCACACAGGCGCTTTGATGTGCCCCGCCCCGGGCTGTAAAAATCGAGGCTGGGGGTGGGCACGTGGTGCCTCCGCAAGCACTTGGTTCCATAATGCATAATGTGATTCATGCTTAATTATCTTACATTTATCCATCAAAAGTGTTTCTGTAGCTCTAAAATACCTTCTCTTTGCGTCACCCTCTCCAATGGGGTTGATTTAGAACCTTTAATGAACGTGGGCACACCCCCACCCCCCCATGTTTGCTTCACTATTTTAAACTTGTTCAAATGTAGTTATCCCCTGCAGTGATTTATAAAACCTAATATGGAATTTTTAAAATTAATTTCTTTATTTTATTGTTTTGAACACTGTTTTTGCCATTTGAGCATCTTTCGACCTTGGGGTTTAAGCAGTGTTATAATGCTGTAACCTCTTCAAAAACACACCTGGAGTTGGGTTTTGTTTCATTCACACATGTTTCAGTAATCCTGGATTACTAGGTTGTTTACGTCTCCAGAGATCAAAATGCTCTGTTCCACCTTGTGATGTCATTAAGTGATGGTTTTAAACATCACTCTTTTATATCTCACATTGGGAGAAGTGGGTGGACGGTGTACCCCCAGGTAAGTTTGTGATGAGGAAACTATCATAACACAGACCTGAAAATAGTACAATATAACCTTTAATCCTGGACATGTTTGCTTTCTTGGACTTGCATTACTTGTGGTTATTCTTCAGGTGGACTGTTTCACCTCTGCTCTTGTCTGCCACTGACATCATGCTGTCTTATCAGCACTGCTCACATAACTGCTCCAGAAGCCAGAGAAGCTGTTGTCTCTGACCCACAAGAATTATCTTTACAATCAGAACCAGAATCAGCTTTTATTGCCATTGTCAGTGATGATGATGCAACATAAAACCAAGAAATAACAAAGACATGTACTAAATTTGATATACAAATGCAATACACATTTGAGCAGGTATTGATACTAAAATATCCCATTCAGAGGACAGAAATGAACATTTCCTGAATAGTTTTAGAATGATGTTTATTTGTATCAGAACATGTAGAAGACACATAGACTAGTATACACACATGGACATTATGAACCTACTGCACCACTGACCATTACACACATATAAGACCACATAGAAATATACAAGAAAGTACAACCATTTAATATTATGTTCAATCTGTATTGAGAATCAGGTCACAATTAATCTGAAATGTTAGTATTTGACAGCAGTAATACAGAATGTGCATAAATTAGCAGGTCAAGTGGGTTAAATTACAGTAGTTTAAAGTGACAGAAACTGGTCTTATAAAGTTAATTGATGTTTAGTCTGTTTTTGTGCATAAATTATCAGTGAGCCGACTTATGCAACCAGTCCCAAGTCCACTACCCTGCTACTGTTGCCCTGGTCACTTATGTCATCATAGAATCTAATGAATCCCACAGATGAAGGAGGGCGACTGGGGCGTGGGCTGGGGCACAGGTCGACGTTCAGTAACAACCAGTCAGGATCAGAGGTAGTACTCTGTTACATTTACTTTGTTACATTTACTTGAGTAATACTAAAAAAAAAAAAAAATCTACTTTTCTGAGTACTTTTTTAGCATCATACTTTTACTCTTGAGTTTGTTTGTTTTTTTTAAAGTGAGAGTACATTTCCTTGAGTAAAAACTGTGGTTGTGCTTCCCACTGTGAATAGCGACAAGTGACAAAAGCTTTATGCTGACAATATGAAATCATTGGAGATATGATTTAGTTTGTCTCATTTTTACCAGACCAGACACAGAATACCAGATTTTGTGCTTTTCATTTAGTTCTTCCAATTACAATAACTTCAAATTTAAGTATAGTTTTCACAAATATTTTTTTTCTCTTGCGTTATTGTACTTGAGAAATGTTATTTTGATTGGACTTTACTTTAACTTGAGTACAATTTTTGGCTACTACTGCATCTGGGCATTGGTCAGCTGTGCCATTCTGTGATCTCATCATGTGATCTGACTGTCTGGACAGACGTGCAGTGATTGGTGTTCATGTGGAGCATGGGCCGGGGCAGAAATGAACAGATAGTTACTCAATCGACTTACAATAACAGCCAGTCAGAACCGGTCCAAATCCACTGGAACCTGTATAGACCCACTTTGATCCAGTCCATACTCACTTGGAACCAGTCCATGCTCATTTTAGGCCAGTCCAAATCAGGGATGTGGTTCTGATACCAATTTCTATATTGTAGCTTTAAGTATCTGCCAATAAACAACCGATAAAAGTGCAGACTAAAAACAGCATTTTAAAATAAAATAAAATTATAAAAAACGATCCAAATGTGTTGTGTATCTGTTACTTTTCTTTCATGTAACCCCAGAACTTTCTGGGTAAACTACGACTGCTACATAGTCTCATTACATAGTCTTATATGTCTGGCTATTGGCTGAACCAGTAGCATCGATATCTGATACCAGTATCAGATCGGTACATTCCTAGTCCAAATCCTAACTAACCCAAACTAAGAATCTGTCCAAAACGGTCCTGACTGTTCAGACCCAGTGATAAACCCAATCTTGACTCAGTTCACACCAGTCTGGACCAGTTAGAACCAGTTCAAGCTAAATGTCATGTTCTACCTCTCTACAGACCATTAAAAAAAAAAAAGAACAGGCTTTCCAAATTTAGTTTTTATCTTACAAAAATCTAAATTTATTCTCAATATTTCATAGGTCAGAATATAGCTTCTGTAGGCTTGAAGTTATGGACACTACACAGAGTCACCAGTAGGTGGTGCTGTAGGCGCGTCCAGGATTTGACTGAACAAAACGTTAGTTACTTTTCAGCATGTTTATATGAATTCAATGTTTTGCACTGGCCTTTGTAGTATCTGCTGAGTCTGCCTTGCGTCTGCCATGTTAAGGCTCTGATTACAACACAGTAACATTCATGCTTTACAGTTTGGTTATTTTCTTTCAAATACAGTGACTCTCCCATGAAGTTACAAAGGCCTTTGTCCACTCCCTGTGATTATGAGATCATCACATTCTTGAATGTGAACACCTATAGCTGCTGGTGACTAATAAATTCATTTATCACCTGGTTAAGAGCTTTTCTGAGAGTTATGTGTAGTACTTAGCATACTCATTCATTTCATTTCATTTATTTCTTTGTTTGAGCCAGGTACAACAAAATTCAAAAACAATAACAAAAATACCCCAATTGTTTTACATAATCACGTGGTTCACTTTTTTTTTTTTTTTTTTTTTTTTTTATCACCTTTGGAGTGCTTACCTGTCATTTGCAAAAAAATATACCCACATATATACAAAAACATATCCACATATACTTACATACATATGCAAGTACACACACTTGTACACACATATGTACATACAAACATACATATACACATCATACATGTCCAGTACATATACTCAATATAAATGTTTACACACATATGCATATCAACATATACACACATGCAGAAACATGTTTTCTTTTATAGTCATACAAACTAATAACACTGTTCTAGGCACAAAGTTTATCATTTAGGATCATATAA